TATCATGTTTTTCAGGTCAGGACGTCGGGCCGGGAGCATGAGCGTGACGTGACGGAGATTTCAGGATATTCATGTTTTGGACTGTATAACTATGATGATGACTTACGCTTCTGCTTACGATATTTTGATGACTTATGATGTACTCGTTTGACGAGCTTATGAGAACTTATGATTTCAGTAACCGGACTATTTTATTAAAAATTAAAATAACGATTTTTCTAAGTTAAGTAACGATTTTTAAAGGTAGCACCCCGAATCAGTTTTCGCAAAGTAAAAAGAGTTTTAATTTAAAAGGCTTTATTTTTAAAGACTTTGCGAATTATTGTGCACTCTGATTTGACGATAAGGAGGGGTGTTACATTCGCCCTCGCCAGCGGCCCTAGACCTCTACTATCATTGGCGACAAGTGTTAGAATGGACAACAATTGCGGCGGGACGGTGCTGACAACAAGATCCATACGCCGAACGACAACGTCGTTCATCTTGCTCGCCTGAAATTTGATGCTGAACACAGTGAGGGCAATGTGGTGGCCAGGATTGGGTGGATTCACGCGGTGGCAGACTATTAACTGCGGCGGCTGTACCGATAGTGGGGCTGTTGGCCACAGTTGACGTTTGTGTGTTAATTGTGTGCGCGTGTGTGTATGTGAATTGTTTGTGTGTGAACTATGTGTGCGTGAAGAAGATTATTTTTGTGTGTGTTTATGAGATGAGAGTTATGGTGGGACCTGCATAGTGTTTGGTAAGTCGTAATTGAGTGAAATGATTGGATTACCTTTAGTGGACAAATGTATAAATTTGATCAGGATATGTACATTTATTTATGAAATTGTCACCGCATGTTTGATTGTTATATTTAAATTCAGAATAGATCATGATATGCTGGATCTAATAGTACACAATTATTCTTATTTCTTTCACTATCTACCATTCTCATTATCCAATTCATTTATATTATACATGATGTGCCGGAACCGTGACTTTTACTCTTTTCTCTTTTGCTCCGATCTCCTTTTTTTTTTACCACTGTTTCTATTGGGTTTCATCTCTAGCCTACCCCAACTTGTTTGAGACTAAAAGACTTTGTTGTTGTATTTATATTATACATTAGATCCATTTTTCCAAAAAAATTGAATGTTTTTTTTTTTTCTTTTTATTTTT